CATTTGCACCCAGAGGGGATCGGAAGCAAGATTACTGTTGTCATTTTAAACAGAAAAGGTGGCTGAATAAATTCAGGGAAAGGATTTCGCAAACACACTTCCTGCCTCTCATTTAATATCTTTTTCTTATGAACTGCCTTTCCCCAAGCAGAAAGAATCCCACAACTGTGTCCTATCTGCCCTTTATTACAAATCTTCTGCCTTAAAAAAGAACCCCCACACGACAACAACCGCCAGGATTATTATATAAGGCACCTTCTAAATGTCAGCAGCTGCAGCTCAGCCATCAAGTTTATGAACTTCTTGATAAAAAGCATGTCCTGTATTTAAAAAAAGCTATAAAAGAAGAAGGAGAAGAGAATAAACCCCGAAGCCCTGAGATCAATGAGCGGGATCATGCCAGGTCGTATAATAAACTTTCCGAGGAGGACAAGCTAGCTTGTAAACCACAGTCGGGAGGAGATAACCATTCAAGGCAAGAGGTTAAGGCGAGATGCGAGCTCTGCCAACCCACAAAGTGCAGGAACAAAACACGAGGAAACTTTCTGAATCTTTTTTAAAGTGTGCAAATCAAGGTCATAACTATAACCACCATTTCGCTGGGAGATTAATCTGCTAAAAGGTGAGCCGATAAAATGGGGTGGGAGCCCATTTTAGAATCTAGTATTGTAGACTTGGAAGGGACCCCGGAAGTCATCTAGTCTAACCCCCCTGCAATGCAGGAATCTCAGCTAAAGCATCCATGACAGATGGCCACCCAACCTCTGCTTTAAAAACCTCCAAGGAAGGAGAGTCCACAACCTCCCGATGGAGACCGTTCCACTCTCAAACAGCTCTTGCCATCAGAAAGTTCTTCCTAATTTACAGTAGTCAGAATCTCTTTTCCTGACATTTGAAGCCATTGGCTTGGGTCTTATCCTCTGCAGCAGCAGAAAACAAGCGTGCTTCACCAAATCAACCCAGCCAGATGGGCAAGGTATTAATAATAATAATAATTATAATAATAATAATATAATAATTATAATTATAATTTATTTATACCCCACCCATCTGGCTGGGTTTCCCCAGCCACTCTGGGCGGCTTCCAACAGTATATTAAAATACAATAGTCTACTAAACATTAAAAGCTTCCCTAAACAGGGCTGCCTTCAGATGTCTTCTAAAGTCTGGTACAGTGGTACCTCAGGATCTGTGCGTGCGCGGGTCACGTTTTGCCGCTTCCGCGCATGCGCTTGATGTCATTTTGACTGTCGGCGCATGCGCACACGACGAAACCCAGAAGTAACGCGCTCCGTTACTTCTGGGTCACTGCGGAGCGCAACCCGAAAATACTTAACTTGAAGCACATTTATCCTGAGGTATGACTGTAGTTGTTTTTCTCTTTGACATCTGGTGGGAGGGCGTTCCACAGGGCGGGTGCCACTACCGAGAAGGCCCTCTGCCTGGTTCCCTGTAGCTTCGCTTCTCGCAGTGAGGGAACCGCCAGAAGGCCCTCGGCGCTGGACCTCAGTGTCCCGGGCAGAACGATGGAGGTGGAGACGCTCCTTCAGGTATCCTGGGCCGAGGCCGTTTAGGGCTTTAAAGGTCAGCACCTTCTTCTTATTACTACTATTACTACTACTACTACTACAAAAAGTTACAGGATTTCGGACATTTGGGATTGGAAACGATTCCTGCATTGCAGGGGGTTGGACTAGATGACCCTCAGGGTCCCTTCCAACTCTACAGTTCTATAATTCTAGAAGCAGAATGTCTGCCCCAAAGACCATCATGAGCACAAATCATGGATGCACAAGAAAAGGAAGTCTGGAGGGGTCCTAAGTACAGTGGTGCCCCACAAGACAAATGCCTCGCAAGACGAAAAACACGCTAGACGAAAGGGTTTTCTGTTTTTCGATGCGCTTCGCAAGACGATTTTCCCTATGGGCTTGCTTCGCAAGACGGAAACGTCTTGCGAGTCTTGCGATTTTTTTCGCTCCCCCCCCTTTTTCTAAGCCGCTAAGCCTTTAATAGCCGCTAAGCCGCTAAACCGCTAATAGCGCTAATCCGCTAAGCCGCTAATAGGGTTGCTTCGCAAGACGAAAAAACCGCTAGACGAAGAGACTCACGGAACGGATTATTTTCGTCTTGCGAGGCACCACTGTAAATATACACCTGACCCTACAATGTCCCCACCCTGCCTCATTCACTCTCAGGCAATTCCACAGCTGTTTTCCAAACCAAGACAACCAGCTACCCATCCCTCCTGCCTTCGGAATGGCTTAATATCTGGACGTGTGTTTGTTTCTGGGTGTGCATTAAACTGTAATATGAGGGCCCGTTTCTCCGCAAGACCAGCCTGCTCCCATCAGTTTCCCTTTGGATATTTATTGTGACACTTGGCGCAAGTGTGTGTGTTTCTGTTTGCATGCGCTGAAGGGCTCCTAGACATAAGATAATTTATTCCACCGTCTCTGGGAGAATACATTCGAGAGCAGGCCGAAGCCTGGGGGTGCTCCGATCGGTGTAAACAGATCTCTTCGGAGGACTGACTGAATGTCAATGGCTGTCGCTCGTCGCTGTTTGAAACAGGGTCTCGGTTGCGTAACCATTTGGCGTCTGCTCTCCTTCGGGCTTTGGCATCAAGCGTGAGAGGGGAAGTGAGAACGAGAAGGCGAGTGCTGTATTAACAGGACATTTCTTCCTTCCTTTCGCCTTGCCAGAGGGGGCCTGTGCCCGCAGCAACCAGCTTTTGCTTCCATATTTACAGGCAAAATGTTATGCTGGAGTGGGAGAGTTATTTATGCAATTTCCCTGGTAAAAACAGTCTCAGAGTCTGGCTGCTATGAGAGTGTTGCGGCGCCTGCCTGAAACGCAGAAGGGAGGAAGATTTGTGTGGCCAACAACACTTTTCCAGTGAAAATGTGGACATGCTTGCATTCCTGAAAGGCCCCTACTCTCGCACCTGATCTCTTGCCCCTCGCGGCTCCTCGTGGTCTTTTCTCTAAGGCTCTCTGTGTTGCATTCATCCAGTCTGCAAACATCTCTCATGTGTCTGTTTTTTCACTCAAATATACTAGCCTCAACCAGAGCCAGGGCCTTAACAACACTGGCCCCAGCCTGGTGGGACGCTCTGCCTCATGAGACAGGCCTGCAGAAGAATCTGATTCTTCCGCAGCGCCTGTAAGACAGAGTTGTTCCGCCTGGCCTTTGGCTTGGAATCAACCTGATCCCCCTCCCCTCTTTCCTTTTTCTTTTCTCCTTCTGAGATGGAACTCCTATTTGGGGACTTCCCTGGCTCTTTTCCGGCCCATGTAGGACCAGTCTGGATAGTTAGCCTTGGTAGACTTGACGTTTTCATCCCCCAAAAAGTTTTTGATTTGAGTTTCCATTGAAATGAGGCTGTATTTTAATGTTTTAATGTTGTATTTTCATGTTGTGTTTTAAGATTTATTTAAATCAATTTGTTTTTATGTCTGTTGTTAGCCGCCCTGAGCCCGGTCTTGGCTGGGGAGGGCAGGGTATTAATAATAATAATTATAATAATAATTCTAAAAACATCACTGTCCTTGAACAAGGTTGGGCAACCTTCGGTCCAGGGACTAAATATGACCCTCCAGACCTCTCTGCCTGGCCCTGGGGACTTTCCGCAGGCCACACAGCCTTCTGAGTCACGCCTCTTACCACCCCTGATTCACACCCTCACTGAATATTTGGGCCTGTCTAGATCACAGAGTCATCTAGTCCAGGGGTCAGCAAGGCTTACCTTGCCTGGGCCAGTTCACTGCTGTGGAGCCCTCTCTGTGGGCAGGATTGTGGGTGTGTGTAAGCACGCGCCTGTGATTTCCGACGTCTGTGTCTGCGCAGACGCAATTTTCGGCTTCTGCACAGACACAATTTTTGGTGTCACTGAAGTGAGTCCCCACGCCGCGCTGCGCCGGTTTAACACAGCGCGCAGGGACTCGCCAAGAAGATGGCTCGGTTCGGGGGTGGCTTGTGGGCCGGTAAAACGACCCCCATGGGCCGCTTGTGGCCCATGGGCCTTAGGTTGCCGACCCCTGATCTAGTCCGACCCCCTGCAATGCAGGAATCAAACCTCTGGTCTCCCATCTGATTTGAGACCCTGCTTGACCCTGTTTACTTTTGCCAACTCGCTGTGCCCTTGAATTCTGACAATGTTTCAGATGCCCATGCAGGCCGAGGAATATGCCAGCCTTAAAAAGCTGTCAAAGTCTCTTCCTCTCCAGGGTTCGCCCCAAACAACTGGAGACCATGCCTGCAGGAAGCCAACCTCTCCTCCGTCCTTTTCATGCCTCTTTTGGTTCTGCAAGCCCGGGGGAATGGACCTTGTCGCAGCAGGAAGGCGAGACACCATGACACCAGCAGGACTCGTCTCTGCCTCTTGGCCTCCCTCCTCTCCTGCTTCTGCCTCTGATTTTGGACTTCTCTCTGCCACCGATTCTCCCATCTCACCGTTGATTGAATCTTTTGAGGAGTTGGAGATGGTGTTTATAAGTGGTCCATGTTTCACAAGAGTACAGTAAGGTTGGTAGGACGATAGCTTCAAGAAAAAAGCTGGCAGCAGGTGTTGGGCCGTGAGCCAGTAAAAGGGTGAATTGGGGAGGGTGTTTGTTTTCCCCACATACTGCTATATGGCTGAAAAAGTGGCACCTACTGACATTTCCCTATGAGGCTGCTTTTATTGATTTTATTGTTCTATAAAGAGAAGGAGGCATAGAATCATAGATTTGGAAGGGGCCTCGAGGGTCATCTTGTCCAAACCCCTGCAATGCAGGAATCTTTTGCCCAACGTGGGTCTCACGGCCCTGAGATTAAGAGTCCCATGCTTTACTGATTGTGCTATCCCAGGTCTATTCTTTTTGGGGGGTTTTTTAATGCTGTGAACAGACCTGTGATCATTGGTTGAAGGGCAGGGTATAAATGGAATTTATTCAATTAATTTAATTAGCAGCAGCAGCAACAGCAACAACAACAAAGTATTGCATGGTGTTCTTGCTCACCTGTAAATGATGCCTCCTTCGTGGAGGAACATGAGGGCCGAAATTATTTCTGCGGCGTAAAACCGGGCTCGGGCTTCGTCGAAGCGACGGGATTTCTGGATGTGAAACATCAGGTCCCCTCCATTCACAAATTCCATGACGAAGAAGAGGCGGTCCTAACAGAAGACATGGAGACACCATGCTCAATGGGAGCCCATTTGGTAACTCTGGCAATGCACTGAGGCACCACGTCACACGCAGCCTGAAATTCCACATGCTGCTTTGATTAAATTCATTTTAAATAATCATTAAGTGCTGGAAGTGTTGAATGCTTGAGGAGCATCGGCAAAGCCCCTATGGGCTGCTCTCAGACACTCCCCCAGTCCAGATTTAGGTTTGAGGAGGCCCTAAGCTACTGAAGGTAATGGGGCCCTTTATATGTCCAGCTGTCCTTTGTCAACAACAAATTGTCACCTTTTTTGGTACTGAATATATGACATATGGTAATTTATGGACCTAATAGGTATCTAAAACCAGTGATATTTCAGGGAGCAGGCTAGCAGGCGGGGCCCATTACTTACCTCATTGGAGCCTACACAAAACACTGTTGCTGTATGTAGGTTTTAATTTATTTGTTTTTTATCTTATATTTTAGAAATGAACATCCAGTGGTTTTTCCCATTAAATTTTTTAGGAGGCCCCAAGAGAATAGAGCCCTAAGCTATAGCTTGTTTAGCTTATACGTAAATCCAGCTCTGCCTCAGTCTATAAAGAGCTACTCTTGTTTATTATCTTGCAGAGGAAAACGAAAGCCAGCCAGGCAAGGATCTTTTATCTCATGGCAGGTGCCTGAGCGCACCAGAAGGGAATTCAAAAGCGATGAGCGTTCCCACACCCTGAGAGTGATGTCCTCTGCTAGTTCAAACACAAAGAGCCAAAGTTAGGCCTCAAGACCAGCCACCTAAAAATTCACCGCAGATACTTGAAATCACCATGTGGCTAAGTTTTATCTCAAGTATGTGCACACAGCAGCGGCCCGATTACAGTCCTTCGTACCCACAATGGGCTTCTTAAGAAGGTCACGACTACACTGCAACTTGTGCAATAGTTGTGCATGAAGAAGGGTGCAACATTTTTAGGAAGGTGGGAGCAGCTGTGGAAGCACTTTCACCCCATTCAACCCAACCACACCTTTCTTTTCCAAAGTGGAGCTTCTGCACATTTTCACAAAGCAGTGGCTGTGCACAGCACAGATTGGCTAGCTCCTGTGATGTAACCAAGGCTGTGTATACAACCATATACTTCAACCAAACTGTAGTTTACCCTTCCCAAAGCTACCATTTCCAGCATCCTTAACAAACTACAGTTCCCAAGAGTCTTGTACTTTAAATGTATTGTGTGTGCACAGCCCAAGAAACCTTATCCCCACCCCAGTCTCTGGAGCAATTTTGCATATATGAAAGTTTTCCATTAAAAAAACAATGAGGGAGAAAGTCACAAATGAACGAATGTTCACACGACACTCTAAGGTTCCCTCCAGGCTGCCAGTATTTTGCAGGAGGGATAGGAAGAACAGAGGAACATGATCCATCTTCCTTAGTATTGTACTGTCTCTCTCCAGGCTTCAGGCAGGGACTCAGCTACATTAGTAAAGAAATGGCAGTTTGAATGAGCTATAAACATGCAACACCAGATGGCGCCAGAGGGCAGAAAATTTTAAAACTCGATTTTTCATAGAGATTTTTTTCTTTTGTTAAAATGATCTAATTTCTTACTTATTTCCACCCCCTCCCTCGTGTTTAGATCCACCCCAGGAGTCTCTCCCAGGCTGGCTGAAGGGAGGCTGGGAGAAATGTGTTGGCTTCAGGGCTGCACTACTATGGGGGGAAAGCCCCTCTTGATATGACCATGCTGTAAGATCTGGGCTGGTTCTACACAGATACAAAAAAACGCTCTGAAAAAAAACTTCATATATATGCGCAATTTGTCATTGAGCTCTACAGTGCCATCTGCTGTCACATTTTTATAACGCACTTATAACGTTATAATTGAGGCTGTGCAGCTGAGTCCCTGGACTCTCTCCATGCATACTGAAGGTGTAAATAGGTGAATAAACCACATTTCTTAAAGGAACGACAGTCCCTGCCACGTCTCAGTACTCTAGAGGAACACAGACCCTGGGTGAGTGCCTGGACCCCCCTGATATCTTGTTACCAATCGGCAGAGAGTGAGGGGTCGGTGCCCAACTTTTGTAACAGTATTATCCGGGGCAGAAGCTGGCAGTACTAAGAAGTGGCGGAGAAAAGCTAGCGTCAACAGGAAGCTATGTGGCATCAAAAGGCCCTGCAATTGGGCATGGGGACCAGACGAGAGAGAGAGAGAGAGACCCCGACCCCATTGCACAATGCTCTAGGCTGGAATCAAGCCGAACGAAAAAGCTGCAGAGAAAAAAAGTTACTGTAAATGAGCAAAGGGCTTGCAATAAAAAACGAGAAACATTTAGGAGGCTCCTAGGTACTCAGAAATTAACCAGCAGCATATCTCTTTGTTCTTCTATCCAAAAATGCAAGAAGGGCTTTTACACTTGCCAGAAGCTCAGCTCTGCCCTCGCCAGTCTTGGAAGGGTCCTTTAAAAAAGTCCCATATGACCAGAGAATTTGCGCCTGTCCATTGGGGGACATAGGAAGCCCTGAACACATATTTTTTAGATGTCCCTTTTACGATGAGGCACATAGAGAAAACATTGACCCCCTGAAGGTGAGGCTTGCTGACCTCCCGGTAAAGCAAAAAATCGATCTTCTCCATCCCCTGATTCAATCTAGTTTGTTAAGAAAATTCCCAAACTTGGATCCACAGGTCACTCTGAGTCATTTCTCTAAGGTAGTCTATCTTAAAGTTTTTATGTGTTTATATGCCTTATCACATTTTTAAACTTTAAATCCATTGTTGTATATTGTTTTAAATGTTTGTTTTGCTATTGGGATTGTAGTTCCATTTGTGTTTCACAAGCTGGTCTCTGACCATAATAAATTTCATGTTCATGTACTCAGAAATTGATCTAGCTGAATTCTCAAAGGTGAGGCTGGTAGCTCAGTGGATGCTGTCATGCACAAATTCTTGGGTTCAGTCCCAAGAGCCTCCTGCAAAAAAATTGAAAGGGCTTTTCATTGGCCACCGCTGGCGAGGATGCCACCCACATCACTTTCACCTGCCCCTTTGGCAGGAGGAAGGAGGAGCTCCGAGCCAGAATTGTGACTCTGGCATCCCGCCACAACTGGCAACCAACCAGCGGGAGGCTGGCGCAGCAACCCCTCTGCCCAATCCAACCCACCCCAGCCTGGTGCAAAGGGACTTTGAGTCGCTCTGCAAGAAGCACATAATCTTTTTAAAAGATAAAATGGAAAAAGAAATCATTGTTGCAAGCAGAGACCTGTGTAGGTGTGTTTGTGTGTGTGTGTGTGTGTGTGTGTGTGTGAGTGTGAGAGAGAGAGAGAGAGAGAGAGAGGGAGAGGGAGGGACTGGGAATGGTTCCATAATGAATCATAATGAATATTATTATTGTATCAACAACGACAGAATTCATTTTCGGTTATTTTTCTAGTCTGCTGCTGGTGATGTGGCAGCTGGTGCTATGTCAAGCAGGAAAGCATTTGTGTGACTCAAATGAGGGAGAGGAGAGGAAATAATAATAATAATAATAATAATAATAATAATAATAATAATAATAATAATAAATTTATTTGTACCCCGCCCATCTGTCTTTCCCCAGCCACTCTGGGCGGCTCACAATAGAATATTAAAAACATGATAAGACACCAAACATTAAAAACTTCCCTAAACAGCGGGGGGAAAGGAAAGGAAACATTAAAAGCTTCCTGAAACAGGAAAGGAAAAAGAGGCAAGGGGGATGTTTTCAGACCTGGCATCAAGAGTTGGTACAACTGGACATGCACTGAGGGCCTATACTTTAGGAGGGGGTCACTGATAAGAAGAGACATCACCTTGCCAAGAGACATCACCTTGCCAACAAAGGTCCATATAGTTAAAGCTATGGTTTTCCCAATGATGTATGGAACTGAAAGCTGGACTATAAAGAAGGCTGATTGCCGAAGAATTGATGCTTTTGAATCATGGTGCTGGAGGAGACTCTTGAGAGTCCCATGGACTGCAAGAAGATCAAACCGATCCATTCTGAAGGAAATCAGCCCTGAGTGCTCACTGGAAGGACAGATCCTGAAGCTGAGGCTCCAATACTTTGGCCACCTCATGAGAAGAGAAGACTCCCTGGAAAAGACCCTGATGTTGGGGGAAATGGAGGGCACAAGGAGAAGGGGACAACAGAGGATGAGATGGTTGGACAGTGTTCTCGAAGCTACCAGCATGAGTTTGACCAAACTGCGGGAGGCAGTGGAGGACAGAGGTGCCTGGCGTGCTCTGGTCCATGGGGTCACAAAGAGTCGGACACGACTAAATGACTAAACAACAACAATACTTTAGGAGGGGGTCACTGATAAGATCCCCCAGTACTTGCTGCAGGGAGGAGGTGGACTCATTTGGGTGGGGGCCCAGATGGGTTGTCTTGCCCAAAGACCCCCCAGGAATCAACACCGGAAGTTTTGAAAACAGCCTTGCTTACCGTGAGCAACAACCGCGGCTGTGTACACACCACACATTTAAATCACATGGCTCCCCCTGAAGCATCCTGGGAACTGTAGTTTGTTAAGGGTGCTGGGGGTCGTGGCTGTGTGAGTGGCAAACTGCATCTCCCAGGACTCTTTGGGGCGCAAGACATTTTGGCACCTGAGGCGAACCACAAAATGGCAGCTCACCCCACCCCACCCTCCGCCGCCCCGGCCAGGGAAAAAGGGGCGAGCGAGGAGCTAAATCGGGAACAGTGGCAGCAACAGTGAGTGATGCATTCCTTGGATCTGCTGCCCATGTGCATCCTGCCGCCTGAGGCGGTCGCCTCACCTTGCCTTATGGGTGGGCCGGCCCTGGGGTGGGGGAAGTTGTGTGCTTTAAAGGTATGGCATGGAGGCAGCCGGTTTCCTTGGCAGGCGCCGTGGGGCACATATGAAAAGAGGAAGATCAGCCTCTCAAAAGCTGAGTCGCTCCCAGGGAAAACTAGTAATCCCGTTTTATTGAAATGCTTGTGAGGAAAGTTAATGCCGAGGGACTCACAAGCCTGTGCTTTGGCAAGAATATGGACTGTGTTTGTGAGGTCCCAATGAGGCAGCTGCTGCCTGGTTTCCTCAGCTAACCTTTCCTGGGAATTTTTTTTTTAAGGGTCATGTGACTGGCTGCATTTTTCACTTGCGACGCCTGCCACCTAGTGCTCCCTCTCAGGAAAACACAGGCCGTTCCTTGCAAAGTCAGAAACTGTATTGCAATCAAGACAAGTAGATTCATCTCCAGAGCTGTCAGCTTTTTGCAGAAAGAATAATAGAACTGTAGAGTTGCGAGGCAGGAATAGTCTTTGGTTGTGACTCGAACTCACAACCTTGAGATTAAGAGTCTCATTGAAATATACTTGGAGTCGAGAGTGGATTTCATGCTCTTTATTCAGCTCACAGTGGTGAGGAGGAATGGAAGTTCCCCCAGAAGGTCTGCTTTATATACATTATTTACACAATGGGCCCCACGTGATTGGCTTATTCCGGGATTCTCCTGTAGTCCAATCATGTTGCGGATTCACTTCCACCTGGAGCTTGATTGGGTGGCTCCTGCGAACCAATCAGACTGCTGCATTCTGGATCCTATTGTCAGTGGCGTAGCGTGGGTTGTCAGCACCCGGGGCAAGGCAAGTAATTTGCGCCCCCTAACCCGTGGATTTGCGCCCCCTAACCCTAACCCCCAGATGTTGCGCCCGGCCCCCCCTGCACCCCCCACGCTACGCCACTGGAGGGACTCCCAAGAAGGTGAAGCGGGACTTCACCCCAGGGTATCTCGGAAGCCCTCGAGGCAGCGACGCTTCCACCCCCTGGAAACAGCAGGAAGGGAGAGCGCTCTTGTGCCCCGGTCCTGCTTTGAGTGCTTCTCATTGACGCGTCTGCTTGGCCACTCACTCTACATGGGCCCTTGTGGCCTTGATCCAGTAGCCGGGTCCTTCTTTGGAAAGAGCGAGCGCCTCCCTCCGCCCCCGCCACACGGAGCTCAGCCTGCACGTGGGCAGGCCCTTTGCGTCACGTGCGCTTGGCGCGCTGCTCTCTCCAGCTTCCTCCCGGCCGGGCCAGCGGCTCCACCTCTTTTCCTTTGCCTTTGAGCCGCTTAATTCCCAGCAAGCAATTAGCAGGCTCGCTCCACCTCCTCCTCCTCCCGGCTTTGCTGCTGCTGCTGCGAGGCTCTTTTCCTCCACCGACGGCGCGCTGCGCCTTGGAGAGGTTCCCGCTTCCTCGAGGGGGGCCGGCCAAACGCGCCCCCAAAAATGTTGCGCCCGGTGCGGCCGGCACCCCTGGCACCCCCCACGCTACGCCACTGCCTATTGTTCTAGGACCAATCAGACTGCTGCATTCTGGATCCTATTGTTCTAGGACCAATCAGACTGCTGCATTCTGAATCCTATTGTTCTAGGACCAATCAGACTGCTGTATTCTGGATCCTATTGTTCTAGGACCAATCAGACTGCTGCATTCTGGATCCTATTCAACTCAGTATATAACACTCATGTTCCACCAACTGACCTACCCTGCAGGGGTACTTATTTAAGAATAACCCCAACAAACCCAGAAAACTCTATGATCCACAGGCCTGTTTTGTAAGGAAGATTTAGAGCTCATTTAGGAAGCGAAGATCTCTGTGTTCCTAATGCTGATTTTGCTGTGGAGGTTGAGAAGAATACTTACAGGTGTCTGAAAGCAGCAGTAGAGCTGGGTTAGGAATGGATGATTCCTGGCCAGGGTCAAAATCCGCTTTTCCGTCAGGGTGCATTCCACATCGTCGTCTTGCAAAATCACATCCTTCTTCAGCACTTTTATGGCATAAAGGAATCCCGTCTGTTTTGTTTTAGCCAGCATCACCTAACCAGGCAGAAAGAAATGTTTGCGGGGAAAGGAGATACGAGTTTATGGATGTTGTGGGGGAACTGGGTAGAGGGGCTTTTTATGCTGGAATTTGAGCTCATTTGGTGCTGGGCAGGAGCTTCTGATTTCTTCTGCTTTTCTCCCACCTTAAAAAAATAAATAAATCTATGGGCGCAAATAGAAATAGGTTAATTAAATAAGTAGTGATGCAAAGAGGAATGCTTTTAAATTGCTGTTTTTTATATGTTGAGTTTCGTACACTGCTTAAATATCTTTATTCGAAGTTAACGGGTTGCAAATGTCCTTATATAAGTAAGTACGCAAAGGTGGAACCAAATGGCTGGGAAATTGGGTGCAACCCGGTTTTCCTTCCCCTCTACACGCAAATCCTGTGGAAATGAAATGGAAGTTGCACAGAAGAAACTGAGGAGCAAGTTCTGCCCATACTCCAGGTGTCGACGAGGACCTCTTACCTTTCCAAAACTGCCCTTTCCCAGAACTCTAATGAACAGCAAATCCTCAATTTTCAGCTTGCTTGCCGAGACTTCAGCCACTTCGTTGCCATCTTTTCCACTCTCTTTTTTCTGTCGCCTCAGCGTTGACCTGGAGACCAGTTTCTGGGAGGGGGAGAGAGAAGGCAGCAAGCCACTGCTTATTTTATTTTATTTTTGCAAGGAAACGCCATAGCTGACGTATTCACACCCACATGATGTTTGCATTTTTTTCTCCATAACAATGAGGGACAGAAACTTGCTCCGTGTGATCGAGTAAGCTAATAGCAACTGCATAGCTGTCAACGTTTCCCTTTTTAAAAAGGGAAATTCCCTTATTCCGAATAGGATTCCTCGCAAGAAAAGGGAAAAGTTGACAGCTATGAGCAACTGTGGGGACTGTTTTGAGGCTTTGCGGTTGAGGCGGGCTGAATACCCACCCTCAACTTTTGTGGAAACACTTCTCCCTCACAAAGATACTGTATTTGGTGACATTTGGGGGAGGCCCATTCTTAGAATTTTCAGGGGCGAAATTAATACGAAAGGTGGCCAAAAATTTCCCTCTTTGTTTGCTCTTTAACTCCTCCAAAAGAAAACCTTGCTGCCACTTCAGGCAAAGGGGGCACCCATATCTCTCCCCCTGCCCCTGCGAAATTAATACGAAAGGTGGCCAAAAATTTCCCTCTTTGTTTGCTCTTTAACTCCTCCAAAAGAAAACCTTGCTGCCACTTCAGGCAAAGGGGGCACCCATATCTCTCCCCCTGCCACAAAAAATACTTCTAAAAACAAGGCTCTGCGGTGGGATTATCAAGCCTGCTATTATATATTTTAGTGTGGCATTGTTTTAAAGTGTTGTTGTGTTGTATGATTTTTTTAAAAAATAAATATATTTATTTGGTTTTTCAGATTAAAATTTTACAGTCACATATCCATCATACAACATAAAAAGAAGATTCCAAGGAATCTCTTGGACTTCACTCTTCCCCTTTGTGGGTCCTATTATTAATTATTTCCTCCTGCATCTATCTTTTATGATGATCCAAATATTTTATATCTCCATTGTGTCCAAAATTCACCATTAAACTATATGTGTTATTCCAATCCTACTAACGATTTTAGCTGTTTACAATGGTCTTTAAGATAAGTTATAAATTTTCCCCATTCCTTATTAACATTTTGGTGCTCCTGATTTCTGATTCTTCCGGACATTTTAGCCATTTTGGCATAGTCCCATCAACTTGATCTGCCCTTCTTCTCTGCTAGGGACTTCATCCTCTTTCCATCTCTGGGCCAATAACACCCACACAGCATACATAAATAGTCTTTTCTGCTCCCTTGGGATATATTGTGTTGTATGGAAGTGAGAGCTGGACCATAAAGAAGGCTGATCGCCTAAGAATGGATGCTTTTGAATTATGGTGCTGGAGGAGACTCTTGAGAGTCCCACAGACTTCAAGAAGATCCAACCTATCCATTCTTAAGGAAATCAGCCCTGAGTGCTCACTGGAAGGACAGATCCTGAGGCTGAGGCTCCAGCACTTTGGCCACCTCATGAGAAGAGAAGACTCCCTGGAAAAGACCTTGAAGTTGGGAAAGATGGAGGGCACAAGGAGAAGGGGATGACAGAGGACGAGATGGTTGGACAGTGTTCTCGAAGCTACCAGCATGAGTTTGACCAAACTGTGGGAGGCAGTGGAAGACAGGAGTGCCTGGCGTGCTCTGGTCCAGGGGGTCACGAAGAGTCGGACACGACTAAACGACTAAATAACAACATGATTCTAATTGTGTTTCACTAGCTGTTTTGAACACCACCTAGGTGTTGCCATCAGCCTCTGCCAGCCTGGTGCCTTGAAGGAGTTTTGGACTCTGGCTCCCATCATCTTGACATGCTGGCTTAGGCTATTGGGAACTATATCCCAAGGACACCTTTGGAGCCACAAGTCCCCCACTCCTTGTGCTAGAGGGTGGGGCAGCTCTTTAGAAAAAGCAACCCAACGAGTGACTATTCATCTGGCCTGTGCGCTCCTCTGTGCTGCGGGATTCGATTTGAGCTCCTGACGTGGAGAAGAGGGGAGGGCCAGAAAGAAGGGATAAACAAAGCCTTACCCCATTTGGAGAAATGTTTCCTGGTTGCAAGCCCATACACGCCAGCGTCTTGGCCAGCTCTGCAGCGTTCACGCCGCAGTTCGGTGCTACGTTGGCTTCGCAACGAATATGTACATTCATTTTGCATACTGAAAGAGGGACAAAGAAAGAAATGGGACAAAGAGTGAGCGGGGGCAGAATCAATGCACTGAGCAATGCACAAGGTAATATTTCCATAAACCTTAATTAGAATGGCAGAAGGGCAATGGCATCTGCCTGGCTGTTTATTTATGTTATGTTATTTCTTAAAGGTAAAGGGACCCCTGACCATTAGGTCCAGTCGTGACCGACTCTGGGGTTGCGGTGCTCATCTCGCTTTATTGGCCGAAGGAGCCAGCATACAGCTTCCGGGTCATGTGGCCAGCATGACTAAGCCGCTTCTGGCAAACCAGAGCAGCACACGGAAACGCCGTTTACTTTCCCGCCGGAGGGGTACCTATTTATCTACTTGCGCTTTGATGTGCTTTTGAACTGCTAGGTTGGTAGAAGCTGGGACCGAGCAACGGGAGCGCACCCCGTCGCGGGGATTCGAACCGCCGACCTTCTGATCGGCAAGTCCTAGGCTCTGTGGTTTAACCCACAGCGCCACCCGCATCCCTATGTTATTTCTTAAATTCGTATTCGTCCGAAGATCTTGGGGCAGTTCACAGCATAAAAATACAAGATGAAAACATAAAATACACAATAAAAACAAGAACAGGAGCAAAACAAACCAATACCATCCCCCCAAAAAGCACATTTGGAAGGCTTGGCTGAAGACTTCTCATTGTCAGCCAGTTATGAGAACCTAAAGCTGTAGTTAGAAGGCAACAAGGCTTAGTGAGCGGGGAGAGTCTCTCCATGGAGGAGCAGGTCAATTCTGTGTCCAGGGCAGCTGTTTACCAGCTCCATCTGGTACGCAGGCTAAGACCCTTCCTGCCCGCAGACTGTCTAGCCAGATTGGTGCATGCTCTGGTTATCTCCCACTTGGACCACTGCAATGCGCTCTGTGTGGGGCTACCTTTGAAGGTGACCCAGAAACTACAATTAATCCAGAATGTGGCAGCTAGACTGGTGACTGGGAGCAGCCGACGAGACCACTGGTCTTGAAAGACCTACACTGGCTCCCAGTATGTTTCCGAGCACAATTTAAAGTGTTGGTGCTGACCTTTAAAGCCCTAAACAGCCTCAGTCCAGTATACCTGAAGGAGTGTCTCCACCCCCATCGTTCCGCCCGGACACTGAGGTTCAGCTCCGAGGGCCTTCTGGCAGTTCCCTTGCTGCAAGAAGCCAAGTTACAGGGAACCAGGCAGAGGGCCTTCTCGGTAGTGGCACCCGCCCTGAGGAACGCCCTCCCACCAGATGTCAAAGAGAACAACAACTACCAGACTTTTAGAAGACATCTGAAGGCAGTCCTGTTCAGGGAAGCTTTTAATGTTTAATAGACTATTGTATATTAATATTCTGTTGGAAGCCGCCCAGTGTGGCTTGGGAAACCCAGCCAGATGGGCGGTGTATAAATAATAAATTATTATTATTATTATTATTATTATTATTATTATTATTATTATTAACGGTTGTGGGGAGGCAGGGACTTTCAGTGTCAGCAACTGATGCATGGGGCAAGCCCTCCCAGGGATGAGTTGCTGTGCTCATTAGCCCTGACACTCAGCCAAGTCTGAGCAGATCGTGTTCTTGCTAATAAAGAGTTAACTCCAACTCGCACCGTGTGATTTACTGTCCACTTGCTCTTGACACTATGGCACCTCCATTAATTATAATACGATTCCAGCCCTCGTGGTTCTGAAGATTGATTTAAATAGGAACAGAGTAGCTGCCAAGTTCATAGTCAGACCAATTGGTCCCTCTAACTCAGTATTGTCTCAGTATTTGCAGCGGCTCTCCAAGGTTTCAAGCAGGAGATATTCCCAACCCCATCTGGAAAGGCCCGGGATTGAACCTGCTCTATACCATTGAGCCACAGCCCTTCCACATGCTCAGCTTGTATATTTGCAAATGAAACAATTATGACAAAGACACCGTAGGTCTCTGGTGCTCTCTCATCCAAAAGAAACCAGACCCTAGGTTGCTCTGACTAGGGACTTTTCATTGCTTGTGGGGAAGTACAAACTTGAATGAATGTTCAACAGCTTTCCCTCGCAAACAGGAAACTCAAACCATCATATGAGGAAGGGGCTGTTGGCCTTTTGCAAAAGAAGAAGAAGTAGAAGAGTTTGCATTTGATATCCTGCTTTATCACTACCCGAAGGAGTCTCAAAGCGGCTAACATTCTCCTTTCCCTTCCTCCCCCACAACAAACACTCTGTGGGGTGAGTGGGGCTGAGAGACTTCAAAGAAGTGTGGCTGGCCCAAGGTCACCCAGCAGCTGCATGTGGAGGAGCGGAGACGCGAACCCGGTTCCCCAGATTACGAGTCCACCGCTCTTAACCACTACACCACACTGGCTCTATAAATAATAAAACAACTCTATAATAAAACAACAAGTGAGAAAGTAATATGAATTCTGGCTTACTTTTGCACTGTAGACCTTGCCTCATGATGCCCCAAAGCAAAGACCCGCAGTGGTCGCAGAAGGTGGGCACTTTGTAATTGTGGATCCGGAATTTGTGAGGAATGTTGATTCCAAATCTCTGCTCAGAAATCTGAGGAGGTAGCAGCAATAGAGGAAAGGCTGGTTAGTTGGGGAGGTGGGAAATCAAATAAAAACACACACAAGAATATCTTCCTCTCCCTCCCAGCAAAAAATACCATTAATAGTCAATGGAGGACTACAGCTTCTATTGCCTTTCGGAAACAATGCAATGCTTTTTCTAACTTGCCTAGTTCTAACTGCCTAGCAAGCCTTTAATTTATTTTATTTTTTTATTTAAAATTTATTAACATATAAAACACATACATATACATTTACACAATACACATACACAACACACTACCTTATTTTCATAACATAAAACATTACTCTATATAAAGGTAAAGGTAAAGGTACCCCTGCCCGTACGGGCCAGTCTTGCCAGACTCTGGGGTTGTGCGCCCATCTCACTCAAGAGGCCAGGGGCCAGCGCTGTCCGGAGACACTTCCGGGTCACATGGCCAGCGTGACATCACTGCTCTGGCGAGCCAGAGCCGCACACGGAAACGCCGTTTACCTTCCCGCTAGAAAGCGGTCCCTATTTATCTACTTGCACCCGAGGGTGCTTTCGAACTGCTAGGTTGGCAGGCGCTGGGACCGAACAACGGGAGCGCACCCCGCCACGGGGATTCGAACCGCCGACCTTTCGATCGGCAAGCCCTAGGCGCTGAGGCTTTTACCCACAGCGCCACCCGCGTCCCGCATTACTCTATATAATACCTACCAATACTGTACATATCAACATACCTACACTCCTACCCCACATGGACACCCACCAAGTGACTTGACTTCCAGCCATTCTTGTTATGCTACTTTATTTTTCCAATTAGCTTAAACGCATTCCATTATTTCTTTAATCTCTTCTTCTATCTTGACTATACGCTCCTTTCACTCTAATCGTTTTCTGGATTCACTCAATATCTGTCAGAAATTCTACTTTTTCCACATAAATTTTGATGTATTCCTTAAAGATAGCCCAGTCCTTATTCACTTATTCACGGACTTGGCATAAGTCAGAGGATTAAGCCCATTGAAGTGAATGGACCTAAGGAGGTTGTATTCGGCTCCAGGACAAAGGTGGAAGTGGCACAGGAAGATAGGGTGAAGTTACTCCATCTCAGCAGGGTACACCCATCCATCTTTTATCACACAAAACCAACAGATCCTGGCACCAAGTACACATGCAAACCCACAGCCCGAAAATGCATTAAACAAAGTGTGTTGGATCGACAGAGAGGTGAATAAATTACATTGCAATAAGCTACAGAACCCCAAATGTGTAACTGTGGCTTTACCTTTGTGTTCACCTTGTGACTATTGTTCTGGCAGGTGCAAGCCGTGACAATGAGATGGTGGCAGCGCTTGTGCACGACACATGTGCAAACTGGAAAACAGAGGCAGGCGTGGGGGGGAAAGGGTTGAAAAAGAACAGGAAGGTGAGATCGACAAGAATCACTGGGAAGCCCAATGCTCTGTATTACATATATCAGGGTCAACATCTATTAGTTGCCCTGGAAAATGGAAGCACTAACATTTTTATCTTGTTCTCAAAGGAGCTGCGGAGGTGGTGGGTAGGTGTTGGACTGGAGTCAAAGCACAGGAGGAAGGGGTGGATTTAACCATTTGCCCCCGTGCTGATCCCCTAACAGCACCCTAGCTCAGTCGGTAGAGCATCAGACTGCTAATCTCAGGGTTGTGGGTTTGAGCCCCGTGTTGGGCAAAAGATTCCTGCGTTGCAGGAGATTGAACTAGATGACCCTCTTGGTCACTTCCAATTCTACAATTCTAAGATTCTATGAAATCCCCCAAACTGCTGTTAACTACAGGGGCAAACTACAAACTACAAACATCAAGGCAATTGCAACATTCATAGCTGATGACAGGTCTGTGTTCCATCCATTTGTCTAATCCTTCCCCTGTTCCACCCCCCTACAAAGGCCCTCTAAGTTGCCACTAACTACATCTTGTGGCAAGGAGTTCCATAGGTTCATCGTCCCCCACATACGAGTGACAAGAAGTGACAGACCGGACTTCTCCAGAATAGACTGACCATCAATTGCAACCAATATAACTATCAACAGAGATAGTTAAAGGTAGGTAGCCGTGTTGGTCTGCCATAGTCGAAACAAACAAACAAAATTCCTTCCAGTAGCACCTTAGAGACCAACTAAGTTTGTTATTGGTATGAGCTTTCGTGTGCATGCACACTTCTTCAAATACGAAAGCTCATACCAATAACAAACTTAGTTGGTCTCTAAGGTGCTACTGGAAGGAATTTTTTATTTTTATTTTGTATCAACAGAGAGGCAGAGAAATTATTTGGCGATATCCATCTGCGTCATATGGACTCCGAATGGACCCTTTCAGATCAAAATGACCTTAGCTGGTATGACTAATGTTGTCTACCAGCACACCCAGAGATATGCATAACCTCAGCCTAAACTTCAGCATGGGCCTGATTCACTGAGAACCAGCCTTGAGTATATCTCCCATGCATGTGCGGCAATAGAAAAGGCCAACTTGTGGCATGTGCATTTCGGCGAGAGAGAGATGAGGCACGCTACCTTGGCACTGGTATCCTTGCTTTCCAAATACTCCCCTGTTGGAGACAAAACAGAGAAAGCACATGACTCAGGAACAGATAAAAGAGCCAAAATCAGGTCAGGTTTGTACACAACAACACAGTGGCTGGGAAAGCAGCAGTGACACAGTTTACAATGCAAATGTAAAAAACAGCTCTTTTGGAGACTTTTTCACCACTCCTTGAGCAGGGCAGACTGACGCAATCGCGGCTGATCCTTTTTGAGGCACAGGGGAGAGAGAAAATGGAGAGCGAAGGGGAAGAATCCGAGGGCAGCGTAGGGGAGTATGGCAGTGACCCGAGAGATTCCATGAGCTTCTCCAGCGAATCAGAAGATTCCCAGAAGGGGGCGCCGATGGTCAGGGCAAGGGGGGTCCCAGGGGGGACGCACCAGAAACAAGGGGCCAGCGGGGACTCCCAAAGCAGCAGCGGGAGATTATGACCAGCTTCCCCACCAGAGCATAGTGGGGGGGAAGAGTCCCATGTGTCAGGGCCAGCGTCTCCTCCAGCGGGGAGAGAAGATGAGTCAGGGCTGACCACGCCTCTATCGGAGAGTGGGGGAACGGAGGGGAGGTCAGGTCCAGCTAGCCTCCCCGAAGGGGGAAGCAGTGACAGGAGCAGTGTAACGGTCAGGAGGAAGGTTGCCGGCTGGGCGCGCGCGCCAAGTTCCAATGTACAGGCGCGCGGGACAGCAGAAAACCCGGATTGGGAACCAGGTCCTAAAGCCCGCCGGAGGCAGGGGGAAGACTCAGGGGACTCAGCGTCAGAAGAGTCTAGGAAGGGCAAGACCCCAGCGGACAGGCGGACCCAGAGGAGGAAAGAGCAAAGGAAGAGGTGGAGCAAGGCTAGAGTCTTAAACTGGTGTCTGGGGGGAGGAGATTCAGACGGAGCTTCAGCGGTCTAGAGTTTGAGACGTAGAGCTGCGCGCTGCGAAAGCGAAAGCGAAACTGAACTTCAGTAAAGACTTTCGTACATAATAACGAACTGGCGTTGGTCCTTTGTGAGCTGGGACCTCGGGCAGCTCTGACACATACATTTAAAGAAGTTTCACTATTTTTCCATTCTCCTGGCTCAAAGCTGACTCCCCCATGGGAGTCAATACATCAGGCAAAGGCAGCTCTTAGCAATTTAAAGACCAATGGATTCATCTGTCTTGCTCCTCTTCACTCCGATACAGGCAAGCAAAAGGAATGACCACAGATCAAAAATCTGTTTCTATAAACACTGTATTGGGTTAGATGTAGGTTAACTTTGTAATAAAAAAAATTAAGGTCTCTCATATATATAATAAAGGTAAAGGTACCCCTGCCCGTACGGGCCAGTCTTGACAGACTCTAGGGTTGTGCACCCATCTCACTCAAGAGGCCGGGGGCCAGCACTGTCCGGAGACACTTCCGGGTCACATGGCCAGCGTGACATCACTGCTCTGGCGAGCCAGAGCTGCACACGGAAACACCGTTTAACTTCCCGCTAGTAAGCAGTCCGTATTTATCTACTTGCACCCGGAGGTGCTTTCGAACTGCTAGGTTGGCAGGCGCTCGGACCGAGCAACGGGAGCGCACCCCGCCGCAGGGATTCGAACCACCGACCTTTCGATCGGCAAGCCCTAGGTGCTGAGGCTTGTACCCACAGCGCCATCCGCGTCCCATTATATATATATATATATATATAATAAATGTTCATAAATGTAACAAGCAAACACATACATAAATATATAAACCACATGTCTGGAGCAGCACAGGAAGACAGTCCTAAAACCATTTTGACTCCCGAAACTGACCAAATGTTTCTCTGCAAGACGGGAGGGGGTGGGGGAACCTTCCCATTGTCTCAGGAATTAAGTGAGTACCATCTCAAAGGATGTGTGTACTCAAAGTGAGTACCATCTCAGGGACGCGGGTGGCGCTGTGGGTTAAAGCCTCTGGTTGGCCTCTGTTATTTTCTCCGACCGATGGAGAACCTGCAAAGGACTCTATAAGGGCTCTTGTGTCCCCCATCTTTTCACCTAACTTTTTCTAACTTTCATATATCATCTTTCAATAAAGAAGAAGAAGAGGAGGAGGAGGAAGAAAGAATCCATCTTCGGTAGGCAAAAGCACTCCGGCAAGTGTTAAAACATAAGACAGACTACGATAGGCCATTAAATTGAATTTTTAACTGTTGGTAGAGCATGAGGCTCTTAATCTCAGGGCCATGGGTTCAAGCCCCATGTTGGGCAAAAGTTTTCTGCATTTCAGGGGGTTGGACTGTAATAATAATAACTATTATTTATACACTGCCCTTCTGGCTGGGTTTCCCCAGCCGCTCTTATTAAAAACACAATAAGACATCAAACATTAAAAACCTCCCAAAAGAGGGCTGCCTTCAGATGTCTTCTAAAAGTCATATAGCTGTTTATTTCCTTGAAATCTGATGGGAGGGCGTTCCACAGGGCAGGTGCCACTACCAAGAAGGCCCTCTGCCTGGTTCTAGATGACCCTTGTGGTCCCTTCCAACTCTCTGGTTCTATGGGCTCTGTATGAGATGGCAGTGGTTTCACCTAGAAGTCGTTATGTATTAAGATTAGCTGCAGTTCTCACTCAGGGCCACCAGTATGCAAATGAAGGATTGAGAATTGTAGCTCACTGATTGGTTAGCTAGTTGGGAGTTGTTACTGTTACAGGTTACTTAGTATTATATAAAGCCGCCAGCTAGGCTGCAGTCAGTCTGACTCCAGGAACAGTTCTAACTGCTGTAATAAAGAGCTGTGAATCTAACAGAGCTGTTTCCCACTATTTAACAGAAGTAAAGGCAGGGGAAGAGGGGTCACTTGTTTCTGCTTGTAAAAAATAAGAATATGCATTTTGTGTTTTTATTTTGCGTTTTTAAATACAAGATAAAACCATGCAACCATTCAAACTCCGTTTTAAAATTAAATTAAAACACTATATTAAAAACAGGTGTAATGTAACAGAAATGTAAAGTATTGCACTTGGGCAAAAAAAACGAAAGGCACAAATACAAGATGGGTGACACCTGGCTTGATGGCAGTACATGTGAAAAGGATCTAGGAGTCTTGGTTGACCACAAACTTGACATGAGCCAACAGTGTGACACGGCAGCTAAAAAACCCAATGCAATTCTGGGCCTCATCAATAGGAGTATAGCATCTAGATCAAGGGAAGTAATAGTGCCACTGTATTCTGCTCTGGTCAGACCTCACCTGGAGTACTGTGTCCAGTTCTGGGCACCACAGTTCAAGAAGGACACTGACAAACTGGAACGTGTCCAGAGGAGGGCAACCAAAATGGTCAAAGGCCTGGAAACGATGCCTTATGAGGAACGGCTAAGGGAGCTGGGCATGTTTAGCCTGGAGAAGAGGAGGTTAAGGGGTGATATGATAGCCATGTTCAAATATATAAAAGGATGTCATATAGAGGAGGGAGAAAGGTTGTTTTCTGCTGCTCCAGAGAAGCGGACACGGAGCAATGGATCCAATCTACAAGAAAGAAGATTCCACCTAAAAATTAGGAAGAAGCTTCCTGACAGTAAGAGCTGTTCGACAGTGGAATTTGCTGCCAAGGAGTGTGGTGGAGTCTCCTTCTTTGGAGGTCTTTAAGCAGAGGCTTGACAACCATATGTCAGGAGTGCTCTGATGGTGTTTCCTGCTTGGCAGGGGGTTGGACTTGATGGCCCTTGTGGTCTATTCCAACTCTATGATTCTATGATTCTATGATTCAGGTATTGCCTAGGCAGAGTCCCAATGGCCTGAGAGAGGTATCTCAATGGCTGCATTTGGCCCTGAAATAAATGATGATGATGAAATCTTGCCTTTTAAAATAAAAGCTGTGATTCTCAGGATGTGGAATATTTAGGGATGGGTCAATCTCGGTTTCTCTCAGTTCTCCACCTTTCCACATCAGTTTGCAGATTAATTTTCTAAAATCCTTAAAATCCGAAAACTCAGCAGGATTTCCTGTGTGAATTTATCATACTGCACACATTTTTGTATACAAATTTGGCCTAACCGTAATATTTTTGCAAGGCAATTCTCTCGAACATTTCGGTATGTTGTTTTCACTAATAATATATGCATTCTTATGCATGCTTCGGGTTGAATACAAAGTTCATCCTACTCATAGAGGACCACTGGACATTAATGGACACAGCTGAGTTAGGTCGGTTCATTTCAACGGGCCCTACTCCATATTACTTGGATACAACTCTTTACCCTTCTATATGCAGTTTTGCACATGTTACTTGACTGAAGAACCAAATTTGGAGAAGCGCAAATTTCCAACAATGGCTGCGTTTCCGGCACAGATGTTTCAGACCCTGCAAATCAGGCCAATCCACCTTTAAATTTAGGGTGAATCGAATTCCTCCCCCTTCCCTTTGGATATTCTACGGGCTGCCTGCAAATCTGCATAAGCAGACACGATGGCTCTATCTTTTCCACCCCTATCTTAGGTCAGAGAGCTGCACTTTGTGCCTCTGTTGTGGCCCCTTCTCTTTGATCTGTGGAGAGAAATTGTTGCAGGTAGGGCCGTTCCTAGCGAAGGGATTAGCAAGAGACAATGGGAAGACTCTCCATTTCGAAGCCTCTCTCTCACCAGATAAACTCCCGGCAGTGCGAGCAGTACGTGGGTTGCCGCAAATAGGTAGCCATAAACTTGTGCCCATTGACTTGATGGACTCGCCGCCGCATAGCCCGTTGGCGCTTCCGGGTGAAGTTCTTAAATATTCTGTCCCTCTGGAGAGTTCCTGCGTGTACAAAGGTAAAGGAGACAAAACAGGGAAGGAAATGCTGATCAGTACTAGTTCTCGGTTATTTGCCACTCTTTCCCTTTAATTTTCAACCACAAGTTATCTCAAAACATGATACAGTGGTACCTCGGTGTTATGTACTGAGTTGAATAGGATTCAGAATGCAGCAGTCTGATTGGTCCTAGAACAATAGGATTCAGAATGCAGCAGTCTGATTGGTCCTAGAACAATGCAGCAGTATGATTGCTCCACAGGAGCCACCCAATCCAGCTCCAGGTGGAAGTGAATCCGCAACCTGATTGGCCTACAGGAGAATTCCGGAATTAGCCAATCACATGCAGCCCATTGTGTAAATAATGTATATAAAGCAGATATTGTGGGGGAACTTCCATTCCTCCTCACCACTATGAGCTGAATAAACAGCATGAAATCCACTCTTGACTCCGAGTATATTTCACTCGGGTTACAGACGCTTCAGGTTACAGACTCCGCTAACCCAGAAATAGTACCTCGGGTTAAGAACTTTGCTTCAGGATGAGAACAGAAATCGTGCTCCGGCGGCACGGCAGCAGCGGGAGGCCCCATTAGCTAAAGTGGTGCTTCAGGTTAAGAACAATTTCAGGTTAAGAACGGACCTCCAAAACGAATTAAGTTCTTAACCTGAGGTACCACTGTATCTTTAAGCACCTTCATTCCTTGCTCCTCCTTATCTCCTCTCCTCCCCCTCATTCTCTCTGCTCCATCAGCCATCCAATCGCCTTCTGAAACCCAGGATCTCCACTTCTGGGATCATATGGTCCCTATCCTTTCTTTTTTGCTTGCAGATCCTTTTCTGCCCTGGGAGCATATTCACCCAGTGCTTTTCCAGCTGCTCTGGCTCCCAGTGGAGGACAGGGTCAGATTTAAGATGCTGGTTTTGACCTTTAAAGCCCTTCACGGCCTAGGACCCTCATACCTACGGGACCGCCTCTCCCGGTATGCCCCACGGAGGACCTTAAGGTCCATAAATAGCAACACCCTAGAGGTCCCGGGCCCTAAGGAAGCCAGATTAGCCTCAACCAGAGCAAGGGCCTTCTCAACACTGGCTCCAGCCTGGTGGAACGCTCTGCCTCATGAGACCAGGGCCCTGCAGGATCTGATTTCTTTCCGCAGGGCCTGTAAGACAGAGTTGTTCTGCCTGGCCTTTGGCTTGGAGCCAATTTGATTCCCTCCCCCTCTTTCTTTTTCCTTTCTCCTCCTGTGATGAGCCCTTTTAATGCCATGTTGTATTTAATTTTTTAAGTTGTACTCATCATGTTTTGTATTATTAAGTGATCTGAAGAGTTGCACACGAAGCTCTTAACTTAGTTGCTATGCTACGAAGTATTTGTTTTTTTGACAAAGACCACACGGTCTACCTATTGTAACTTATTATTGCTTGTTAGCCGCCCTGAGCCCGGCCTTGGCTGGGGGGGGGTATAAATAAAAATTATTAAATTATTATTATTCCTGCATATCTTGAAGCTCTGTCTAACGTGCAGGTGTGATCAGATCGTATAAGCACCCACCTTTCAACCTTGTGCAGTTGGATTGGCCGCTGGCTTGAAATCGTGGTCAAATTAACTGCAGAGAACCTAAAAGCTCTTTTTGTGCCAGGTCCCCCCCCCCAAGCAGAAATTGCTTTTAAGCTCTCCCTGTTGACCACCTTGCTTAGCAGTCTCTGGGATGCTCTCAGGAGACCATGCGTGAACTCAGACATCCCTGAAAGAGCTTGCAAGAGCAGCGTGCCAGAAGGTAAGGAATGCTCGCGCAAGGGCAGTTCCAGATTCGAGTACTATACTGTATGGAAACTGTGGCCTTCCAGATGTTGTTGACAGAGGCCACCTCCCATTAACCTCCACCAGTTGGGCCAGAAAGCAACATCTGGGCAACACGTTGGATTGGGGAAGATGTATTGCAGTCTTTAAGCTGTGTGCCTCCACCTATATTCAACCTGTAAATACATGCAAACATCGCCAAACACCAGGAAGCCTCCGGTGACCTCCTTCCAATCAAACCTTTGTAAGCACCGCACCCCTGAAATCTTGGCGAAGTGAGGTGCACATAACACTATATTAAGGCTACCACCAGATTAGCTGAGTTTCAAGATGATTAACTGATTAAATTTGCATATGAGTAGAAAAAACCCCCCAGTGTTCTCAGAAACACCAATAGGAGTGTTAAGGCACTGAATGATGGGTTCTAAAACCTGCTATTAATTTCTTCCAGTTCTTCAGAATGGCTATTTTTAAAGCTGCACATCACAAACTTCCTGTTTCCACACTGACACATGGCTCTTATAAGTGCCTTTACACACACTTGTCTGTCATTCTGCTCCATGACTGGCCAAGGAAAGAGCCAAGGAGCTATTTCCAAATCACACTCGGACATCGCACATCAGGAAAGGGCTTGGGAACTGGATTCTTGCACACTGAAGAATTTGGACAGACATCTGTTTGTCTAAGGTGGCCATTTATGTATTGCCAAAGAAAGCAAGGAAAGGACTCAGAGTTGCATATGCTGATTCATACGCATAGATGCAAATTTAGCAATCATTGGTTGTATCCAGCTAAATCCTACCCAGTGTAGACCCACTGAAATCAAATTACTGTATTTTTCGCTCTATAAGACGCACCAGACCATAAAACGCACCTAGTTTTTGGAGGAGGAAAACAAGGAAAAAAAATATTCTGAATCTCAGAAGCCAGAACGGCAGAGGGATCGCTGTACAGCGATCCCTCTTGCTGTTCTGGCTTCTGTGATAGCTGCGCAGCCTGAATTCACTCCATAAGACGCACACACATTTCCCCTTACTTTTTAGGAGGGAAAAAGTGAGTCTTATAGAGCAAAAAAATATGGTACTCAAGTCCATTGATGTCAATGATCCATTCCATGACTTAGACAACACCCTCTCACTCTTTCTTTTTTAAAATTTTTAATTAAATTTTCACAATTATAACAAAAACAACCTAGCAAAAAGGAAAAACAACAGCAGAAAAACATACAAAAAAAACCTAAACCACAACAATAAAAAACATAATCTTTTTCCCATATCCCTTAAAACCCAAATTTTATTTACATTGTTAATTGACTTCCTCCATTCCCTCCCTTCTGAATTTCCTCGTATCTGCATGTTACAGCTTTCCAATATCATTCTTAAACAAAAATATTTCCAGCTGTTATCTAATTTATTCACTTTTCTTACTGTTCTGAATCCCATTTATTTAATTAAATCCTAATTTAATCCTAGGCCTATTTGGTACTTTCAAGGGATTTCTAATTTTTTATATTACAATATTTATTCAAATACCAGAGTTGAAATCGGAACTCTATGAAATTTTCCATTGTGAGCTTTGAAACGGATTTTTCAGAGCGTTTTTCTATAGCAGTGTAGATGCAGCCCATGACTATAATTTAAACAGGAATACACAATTGTAAGAAAGACTGTGAGCAGGCGACTTGTGTGCCTAAGTCAGTTTTCCAGCTGCTTCTAAGTGTCAATGGGCAACTTCATATATGCAACTAGACTGCTTCCCAGTTGCTTGACCTTGGATTATTCGATCTGTGCTCCTTCTGCAACCCTGACTGGGTCCCTGTCCCCGGAGGGTGCTCATGGTAATGGGACACCCATGTTAGATTATATCCAAAGTGCAAGAAGGAATCACTCCTCTTAAAATCACTAGGGCTTCTAGCCTAGAAAGAATAAGGGCAGGGGAAAGCAAAACCTTTATTGTGGGCGGCTGGACTAGATGACCCTTGGGGTTCCTTCCAACTCTACAATTTTGGTTCTATGGAAACTGGCAGGTGCAAAGCAAGCTTATTTACAAACTAGTCCACACGTTCCTGACTTGTGGGTTCTTCCAGAGGGGGACACTGTTCAATGTATAATACACACACACAAACACACACACGGCTTTTCCTGGGGGGGGGGGGATGCAGGGCTCCGCATATCCCTAAACATTTTGTAAATTTGGTGGGAGAAGAAACTAACAATTTAAAATCGTCAGTTCTGTTGCTACCCCCGATGGTGGCCTCATTTCCTGTCGCGGTGTTTCCTGAGTCTCAGACGGAATGAGAGTACCCCTAAACATTTTTTTAAAGAAAAAAAGCACTCTGTGTGTGTGTATGTGTGTGTGTGAAATCTATACCACCCTTCATCAGAAGATCACAGGGTGTTTTACAACCTAAAACTATATACCATAATAACAAACAGAAACACCCCCACACAGTTATTTTTATTGTAAAGTCCATTCTGGTTGATATTCATGGAAAAGCCTCCCCCCCCTCTCTCTCTCTCCATTTGTCTAGACTACTAATGACCTCCTGATTTACATATTGAGAAGTTTCCCCTAAAGCAGTGGTTCTCAACCTGTGCGTCCCCAGATGTTGTTGGACTACAACTCCCATCATCCCTGAGCTCTGGCCTTGCTAGCTAGGGGTGATGGGAGTTGTAGTTCAACAACATCTGGGTACCCACAGGTTGAGAAAGGCTGCCCTAAAGGAAGAAGGTTCATTATTTGGGAAATTTGGAAATAAGTTTGGAATTAAAATGGGCTGCGCTTACAGATGTCCTCTTCGTTCCCCTTGCATTTCCATAACACTCATTCTCTGTAGCCTTAGACAGAGCAGGATCTTATAAGCAGGTGAGGGAGACACATGCTTTAGAGTTGCCAGGTCTTCTAAGACTCACACCTTTAGACACAGCAGGTGGAGCTTGAGAGCTAAGAGGTGGTACCTGGCAGTTTATAGGGTGGAGCCTGGTGGGGTAGGAGACAGATAAGAGGAAATTCATGGTAATGCCTAGTGCTCCAGGACTGAAGCCCAGTGAATATCATGGGATGGATGGAGTGGCTGAATGACAAAATGTACCGTATTTTTCGCTCCATAAGACACACTTTTTCCCTCTTAAAATCTAAGGGGAAATGTCTGTGCGTCTTATGGAGCGAATGTGTGGTCCCTGGGGGTGGGGGTGGGAACCT